TCAGAAAGGACAAGGTACATCACGTGATTCAGGTTCTTCTGAATCATTGTATGTGATTTTGTTGAAAATAATGAGTTCCTTGTTTTAAGGAATGTTTTATTCCTTGTTTTAAGGAATGTTTTAAGGAATGTTTTATTCCATGTTTTAAGGAATGTTTTATTCCTTGTTTTAAGGGGAATGTTTTTTTGTTTTTTCTTAGTCTTCTTCCTATATATACCCGAACCATTGTACATTGCAATTCATGAAATATACATCACAAATTAAAGCTATAATTTCTATATGGTATCAGAGCAGGTTCATTTGTAACCTGTCTCTACAATTCTTGCTGCTGCGATTTTTTCTTTCTTTCAAAGTCTAAGCCATGACTGAAGAAAGTTCTGTCAACCATGATAAGGAAACCCGGCACAATCTCTCTCCAAACTCCTCAGACGTTGAGGTTAACACCAATCAACGTTTATGTTCAGTTCTCTTGAATGAGTTCAATTATCTTCCTTGGTCCCGAGCTGTTTCACTAGCTCTCGGAGGCAAAGGGAAGTTAGGGTTTGTAAATGGAAGCGTGGAAGCTCCAGATCGTTCTTCCTCTACATACAATGCATGGCTCTGCAAAGATCAACTTGTCATGTCCTTGCTGCTCAACACCATGGAGAAACATGTTGCTGAAATTTTTAGCTACTCCAATTCCGCCCATGATCTTTGGAAAGCTTTGCAGGATATGTATGGAAATCAAAACAACTATGCACGGGTCTTCCAATTAAAGAAGGACATTGCCAGTGCTCAACAAGAAGGGAAAGCATTTGTTCAACACCTTGGGAGTCTCAAAGCCATGTGGAATGAGTTGGATGTATATCTCCCTCATACCACAGATCCTACCATTCTCCTAAAACGAGCTGAGGAAGACAAAATTTATCAGCTGTTAGGGAGTCTGAGCTCTGAGTACGAGGACCTAAGGAGTCACATCTTGATGAGTCAAGATCTACCTACCTTCAACAATGTTTGTGCAACTATCCAACGAGAAGAAGCAAGGAAGAAGGTTATGAATGTTGATCACAATCCTAGATTAACGGAGACTCGGGCATATGCATCAAATTACAAGAACTCAGAAGCCAAGGTATACAAGGGAAGAAACACACATCTAAAATGCAAATATTGCAATGGTGTTGGTCATGAGGAAGACAAGTGTTGGGAACTTCATCCTGAACTCAAGCCTAAGTTCAGCAAAGATGGAAGGATGATACCAAGGTCCTCACAACAATTTCAACCTCATTTCAAGGCAAAACTTGCTAATGCTCAAGCTCCTACTATCTCACAAGGATCCATGGAGTTCACTGCCAATCCATTGTCATTGATCAATGAATTTGCAGCTTACCTACAAAGTAAGGGGCACGGAGGAGGCTCACATGGTCAAGGCAATGAAGAGGGTAGTCACACAGCTATGTTGGGACAATTTGCCGGATTTCTTGCTGGAAATGAGAAAGTTCCAAAGGGAGAAGCATCAGGTATACTCAAAGCCTTTACTACTGCCCTATTAACTAGTACTGAAACTGATTGTTGGATAATTGATTCAGGCGCCACAGATCATATGACAAACAAAGTTACAAATTTACATCATTTTAAAAAATTTTCAAGCCCCTCACATGTGTCTGTTGCAAATGGAAAAAATGTCTTAGTTTTGGGAAAAGGAGAAATAAACTTACTCTCTCAAAAAACACCTTCCACTGCCCTCTATGTACCAACCTTTCCTTTTCAACTTTTGTCAATTGGAAAGATCACCAACACCCTAAACTGCCGTGCTATTTTCTCACCAAATAAAGTGATGTTTCAGGATGTTCTCACCATGAAGATGATTGGTGAAGGGGTCTTCATAAATGGCCTTTACTACCTGTGCAAGAATGCATGTTTCACTCAGGCTCTTCAAGCTCAATCAAAGTCCATAGATGAAAACCAACTTTGGCATAGGAGATTAGCTCATCCCTCTGAACTTGTCTTGTCGAAACTGTTTCCAAATTTTTGTAACCCTTATCCTACTTGTGATACTTGTCAATTTTCTAAGTTTACTAGGCTACCTTTTGGTAATTCAATGTCTAGGACAAGTAAACCTTTTGAAATGGTACACACCGATGTATGGGGACCTGCAACTGAATCAATGGAAGGTTTTAAATATTTTGTTCTATTTGTTGATGATTTCTCTCGAACAAGTTTTCTATATCTTATGAAATCAAAAAGTGAAGTCCCTACCATTTTCAAAGACTTTCACATGCATGTTAAAACGCAATTTCAATCAAACATTAAGGTTTTAAGGTCAGATAATGGCACTGAATTTCTATCCAACAATATGCTTCAATACATAAGTTCTCAGGGTATCATACATCAAACCAGCTGTGTGGGGACTCCCCAACAAAATGGAGTAGCCGAGAGGAAAAATAGAGATCTCTTGGAAAAAACTCGTGCTCTCATGGTTCACATGCACGTTCCAAAGAAATTTTGGTCGTTTGCCATCCTTACTGCCACTTATCTCATCAATCGACTTCCAAGTCGTGTGCTAGGGTTTAAATCTCCATATGAAGTTCTTAAGGGGAGGAAAATAGATTTGACACATCTCAAGGTGTTTGGTTGTGTGTGTTTTGTTCACATCCAAACCTTGAACCGTGACAAACTAGATGCCAGGGCAGCCAAGTGTGTGTTTATGGGATACTCGACCACTCAAAAGGGATACAAGTGCTTCAATCCAGTCACTAAGAAGTGCATAGTTTCAAGAGATGTGAAGTTCGAAGAAGACTATCCCTATTTTACAAGTCAGGGGGAGGATTTAGTTGACATGTTCCCACTTCCTCAAAACTTTAATTATCCGATGTTGGAAAATAGATCAGTCAGTGTAAGTCCAGATTGTGAAGAAGTTCAAACTGACCAAATTACTGCCGGTGAGAGTGAAGACGAGCCCTACTCTGATCATTCTCCGCCCTCTACAGAGTCTCAGGTGATTAAAAGAAATCCTCCTCGAATCAGAAAACCTCCAGTTAGGTTGCAGGACTATGTTACATATGCCTCACGACATCCAATCAATGAATGTATCAGCTTTAGTAAGTTCTCAACATCTCATGCTACATTTCTCAGTGAAATTGATAAGCACTATGAACCAAGAAGCTTTCAAGAAGCTTTTCTTCTCCCACAATGGAACCAAGCCATGAAAGAAGAGCTTCGTGCACTGGAAGAGAATTGCACCTGGAGCCTAGTTCAACTACCACCAGGAAAGAAGGCTGTTGGAAGTCGTTGGATTTACAAGACTAAATTCAAAGCTGATGGATCTATCGAGAGACACAAGGCTAGACTTGTTGCTCGAGGTTTCACCCAAACCTTTGGTGTAGATTATAAGGAAACATTTGCACCGGTGGCCAAGATGAACTCAGTCAGGGTTTTACTGTCAGTTGCAATCAATTGTGGGTGGTCACTCTACCAAATGGACGTGAAGAATGCTTTCCTTCACGGCGAGCTGCAGGAAGAAGTGTATATGCAACCTCCTCCAGGCTATGATGGTATTAAAGGCAACATGGTTTGTAAATTGCACAAGGCAATATACGGATTGAAACAATCACCAAGAGCTTGGTATGCCAAGCTCAGTTCTGTTCTGGAAAAGGCTGGATTCATGCGAAGTAATGCTGATTCTTCGCTATTTGTAAGAACTGGCACCAAAGGGAAGTTGGTGGTCCTCATCTATGTTGATGATCTTATCATCACTGGAGATAATACCGTGGAGATTGAGGCACTAAAACTCTCACTACATCAAGTTTTCGCTATCAAGGATTTGGGAAGGTTAAAGTATTTTTTGGGGATCGAAATGGCAACATCTTCAAAAGGACTGTTTCTACATCAACGGAAATATGTATTGGACCTCCTTCAAGAAGCAAAAATGCTTGACTGCAAGCCTGCTATCACTCCTGTTGATTGTAAACTGAAGCTCAGCATAGATGGAGAAGCCATGCATGATGTAAGCTACTATCAACGATTAGTAGGTAAGCTCATATACCTCACTATCACTCGTCCAGATATCACATATGCAGTGAGCTTGGCTAGTCAGTTCATGCACTCTCCCACTGTTGATCACCTTAACCTTGTTAAGAGAATCCTTCGTTATCTTAAGGGTTCAATTGGGCAAGGAATTACAATGCATAACAATCAGTCCACTGTCATTAGTGGCTACACAGATGCAGACTGGGCAGGTAATGCAATTGATAGGAAATCAATCACAGGCTATTGCACATTTGTTGGTGGAAACCTTGTCACATGGAAGAGTAAGAAGCAACAGGTAATTGCTCGTTCCAGCGCAGAGGCTGAGTATCGAGCCATGGCAGCCACTGCTTGTGAACTCATTTGGCTTAAAGGGCTTCTTTCAGACTTAGGGTTTCCTAGTTCTACTCCTATGACGCTTATGTGTGATAATCAGGCAGCCATGCACATTGCTGCCAATCCTGTGTTCCATGAAAGAACCAAACATATTGAAGTGGATTGTCATTTCATCAGAGCTCAAGTTCAAACGCAAATCATCCGGACCATGTTCACACGAAGCCATGATCAACTAGCAGATCTTTTTACAAAGGCACTAGCATCATCTCAGTTTCATCGGTTATTGGGCAAGCTTGGCTCAGTGAACCTCCTCGATCCAGCTTGAGGGGGAGTGTTGAAAATAATGAGTTCCTTGTTTTAAGGAATGTTTTATTCCTTGTTTTAAGGAATGTTTTAAGGAATGTTTTATTCCATGTTTTAAGGAATGTTTTATTCCTTGTTTTAAGGGGAATGTTTTTTTGTTTTTTCTTAGTCTTCTTCCTATATATACCCGAACCATTGTACATTGCAATTCATGAAATATACATCACAAATTAAAGCTATAATTTCTATAGATTTTGTCTTTGTTCGCTTTTGAAGATTATGTTTTTTAAATCCTGAATATTTCGTGTATATAGATTCTCCAATATTTCTTCTTATTTAACGTTTGCTTTTTCAGGTATGTTGCCTGTTGGCATGCTTCCCTTGTTTCAGATGGGAATCGACTCAATCAGTAAGCCATTTGTCTCGATCTTTTGTCTCTATGATTTGTCCTCACGAATTTACATTATTCTCCCAATAGGTAAGACTAGAAATATTACTCCTTGCATACTATAGAACTATCCTGACATTTTTGAGTGTTCAATATTATTTGTTTAAGGAGCATATTGCGAGAAATCGTATTCATGAGGAAGGTGTGTTCATTGAGTTTGTAGTTTTTAGAAAGCATATGTCTGGGATGAAGGAAGAAATTAGGAAGAGACTAACTAATTCTAAGGATGGTTGAAGGGCTTAAGCTGAGATTTTCTACATGAGTCCAGAGGAATTCTAAAAGACCAAGAACAAGCTCTTCTCCATTTGGAGAGCATTCAACTTCAAGGAAAGGATTTACTTATTCTGCTGTAAATAGTAAGATGAGGTTTACCATGTTTGAGTGTTCTATTGTGATGATAAAATTTCTAAACATATATCGAACCAACAAGGCTGTGGTGGTGGGAATAATCGTTCTAAGGTATGTATTTCAGTTTGATAGTATGTATTTCATTTACTCTTTGTCACCAATGCTTATTTTCTTTTTGCAAAATACTTTGTCAACAAACAAAGTACAACAGAAGAAAAAATTGATTAGAGATGCAAATCTACACTACTGCCAAATGTAAAGGAGAAAGAGGATTATGATAGACGGATTGACTACATGGATTCACCTCTAAAATATTATGGTATAAGATTAAAAATTAAATTATCTTTTTTATGCTATTCACTTTTGAATCGTCCCAAAAAGATTTCTCAATAGTATATTGTTTTCATCATATTTCTCCCAATGAGTTGCTCAAAGTTTTGAATCAAAATTGGTGGAATGGTGCGTTGTTTTAGTTCCATAATCCATTTGAAAATCTTTTTCTTCTTTTGCAGAACGTTGGACATCAATCACGACAAGATTTTGCGGAACCATATATGGGGTTTTGCTTGCAAATAGTTGAAAAACGATCACGCACTAGCTTTTGGGGTACAGACTACAGTGTAAATAAATAAGCTAGTATCATGACTTCGGTAACATATGCAGCATAGTAGATGTGTATCCTTAGGAGGGTGAAAAATTATTTTGAATTCGTGTAAGTTGGAAAAGATTCAATAGCCTTATATGGCAAAAAGTTCTATGACCAATTTCGAAAACTTCCAACGTACGTTCATAAAAAAATAAAATAAAACTGCACAATTTGCATGTCTAAATAATATACAAATAATGCTAATATTTGATTTTAACCAAAAACATTAAATTTTCAACAGGACGAAACGATATGAGTTCATAATATGTTTTGCTGTCAAGTAATCAAGGTCAATTGAAGTTCTTGGATTGTTTTTACACTTTTTATTTAGCTTTTAGTTGCAACTACATTATAAGGATCTTCTCTGTTATTTATTACTTTTTTTTTTTTACATATTCTATGTAAAATACTTTTAATTCCTACTTGTATTATTAAAGATGATAATCGCCTTTATTTTATGTTTTTATACATTGAACTAATCATCACATATAAATGCATCTAAAATGTGTAAGTCGCGCGTAACGCTCTGTGATTGAAAAAATACCTTTCACAGGTGCCTGAGCGCATGCAGAAATGCTTGTGTTGTTTAAAGGCTTAGGAAGTTAAAGAAAAAAAATAGAATTTAAAAATTTTGTAAAAAAAATATTCAAAAATAACAGCTAGCTGGCTGTTTTGGGCCGACTGGTTGACCCTTGGACCTTTTTTTGTCCATTGAGGCCCACGAGTCCTTTACTTTGATCCTGGATTGAAGATGGTCTTAATGATCATGCGTTGCTCTTTCCTTTCTGTACGGTTACCTATACTTTTCATGATTTTTCTGATCGGCTGAACTGATGATACTTGACCCACTCAACATGGGAAAGCTTGCTATGTGAAGCACTTTTAAAAGAGACTGATCAGAAATGGAATCTGTCTACGTGTGAAAGTGCTGACTGTACAAGCACTTTTTCTATAACTCGTAAGACAAAAAGCCGTTTTCATCTTGCACGCGAGGGGATGGTCCGGATGGATGCAACCATGCATACATTGGTTACCAAACTGAAAAGAAAGGTTGATGCACTTGATTTTGCATAATGCATATTATGATGTAAATTATTGTTTGCTTATATAGATCTTCCATTTGTGTTGGCAATGGCAAATTCAGGATTTTTTCGTATTGAGACAAGATTAGAGACGTTCAAACATTGATTTTCAAGACAAGGCCGTAAGTTTTTTACTACCATAATATCTAACCTCTAAAATAATTCTAGCCCAATAGGTATTTTGTCGAACACCTTGCCCTAATGACATATCCTCACAGAGTACATTAATGTAATGTGACACAACTTTAAGGATAGGGATACTAAAAAATGGCCAACATGGGCAATAGCTTTCACTTGTCTTGACATAGTCGTTGTAGTATAGTGGTAAGTATTCCCGCCTGACACGCGGGTGACCCGGGTTCGATCACAGGCAACGGCGCTAAAAACTTGATGTTTATTTAAACTAACCTAAATAATATATTAACTTAAACCAAATTAAACTCACAAGCGCACGAATCAATTGTAGAAATAAATGCAAATACGAGGTCGATCCCACAAAGATTGCTTTTAATACCAATTCAACTAATTGATTACAAAAAATAATTAGAACTTCAACTTAAAATTAAACCAGGAATGTGAATAACAAAAACACACAACGAATGATAGTCTAAAAAGAATTAATGTGATGAAAGCCTAAGGTCATCAATCCACCAATAACAATCCTATTCCCTTTTCTTCAAGCCTATTACTATCCAATTACCATGCCAATATTTAAGGTTGTTCTTTCTAAGGTATAAATTAATTTGTGGTCAGACATCAACTCGTGTGTCTATACGTGACAACTATATCCTATTGGTTAGGCATACAGTTAAACACATAAAAACCCATTCTGCACTGAAGAATTATATCAACCAAGTAGGACTAGTTTGATATTGGTCATCCTCACTAGTTTGTCTACTCTTCTTAATCTTAGTTCCAATAAACCTAATTGATTGGTCATCTATTTTCAAGTTATTTTCATTAGTTTTCCTAATTATCTAGAAACAAGTTCCCAATGATGGCCAGTCACAAGAACATTCGAAACTAGAATAGATTAAGCACAAAGATTAAGAACTAAACATGGCATGTAATCAGATAATAATCAACAAGATACTTCGGGAATAATAATGTCATGGCTTCATCATAAACCTTAGAAAAGTAGTTTAGTTACACATAGTCATAATAAAAATCACAAAAGAAGTCATGGAAAAGATAAAACCCAGAAAAGAATAGTAAGACCACGATAAGCTTTTCTCCTTCACTTTCGAAGATTCCTTTGTATTCCTGTTCTCCCTTTAGATAGCCTAAGGCCCTCTATTTATTCTAGTAAAACCCTCAAAAGTCTGATAAAAACTATCCTAAAAGAAAACAAACTCCTAAATAGTTAATGACACAAACTAGGAAAGAATCCTTCTCGACTTGGGAAACACGTCTTCTGTCTTGCACGCCCATTTTGGGGTCAATTTATCTTCTGGAAAATTCTGTAAAAATATGAGAAACATAGCTTTGTCTCTTATCTTTCCAAGCATATATTGCACACCACTAGAAAAAATCGGGAAAGCCTCCAAATCTTCATTCTCCTACAGCTGCGCAGTTCTGACGGGAAAACTACTTCTGTGGGATTAACTTTGAAAACTGGAACATTTGGCTTCATGGAAAATTATGAAATTTGGACGCAACGATGTTCAGCCTCTTAGCTTCCTTCTCCACTTGGCCTTGCATCAAAACTCCTCCTGAAAGTCGAACTATCACCAAAAACGTCCAGCATGCGCAGATTAGCTGAAACTGAGAAAAGGAAAGTAATAAGGCTCTTTCATAATCAATTCCTTAACAAGACAAAGGGATAAATGATATGAAAATGTGATAAATAATGCACCTATCAATGGGCAATAGCTTTCACTTGTCCTAACCTAGTCTACATCCGCCACTGAATACTAGAATCGCACATAGAGAGTTGTTATTATTTTTTATATTCAACCTCAACGTAACTTTGAAATGGTCCTTGAATATACTTACAACCAATAATCATTTGGTGTAATGATACCCGATTTGAAGGAAATCCTTGTTGTCAATTATCATAGTAGAAGTTGACAACTTGGTGAGGCCAAAATTCACATGGCACTGCAGTGACGTCCATGGTATTTAAACCAGGCGAGCTATAGTAGACTCTCAGCTGGACCATTCTACTTTTGTTCTGTAAAACCACCAACCATCCCAAAGCCGGAAGAGGATACTCTATAGATCCACTTTGTGGGGTTCGTAGGGCATCTTAGCTGTTCATCGTATATCTTATAGATAATTTTCGTCAGGTACTATTTATGTTTAATTTTAAATAAAAAAATCAAATGATTTCTGACCGCATGATACACAATAAATGGCTAAGATATTCCCGGATAAGATCCCCACAATTTGGATCCGGATAGGATCCAAATCCCCCAAAGCCGCTCAAAGTGGTATTTTTTAGGAGCTTTTACCTTATGTAAAGAAGAAAAAGAAAAGGGAGGCTGGGTTGAGAAAAAGGAAGTAGATCATGAATAACACACCAAATTGTAGTTGTTGCCTGTTGGTACACTGACCTAGTATTCTAAGTTACATATACATTGCTAACTCATTCTCAAGCGGCTTAAGCTTTTGTAATCCAATACCATCATAATGAGTGAGAAGCAGATTACAATTTGTCAAGGTGCTAAGTAAACTATTTACATTGCCGGACCATTCCCTTAAGTTTTAAGCTTTTGTGATCTGTATACGTTGTTGGTACATTCTCAGACGGTTCAAGCCCTTGTGATCTATATACATTGTTGACACCTCCCCAAACAGCTTAAGCTCTTGTGGGTACTTGGAGTAAGTATTAGGAATAATTATTAGGAAGCTTGCCTTATTGACGAGAAGAACTTGCATGTTACGAGGCATATTCATTTTAAAGGCATTCTATGGACCAGAAAGAAATGTATCAAGTAGTTTACTCCCATCACATATGCAAATACATCATGGAAAGAATAATTTTGGCTGGCAAGTCATTATAACACACCATCATTGATGCACTGCCATCTGCAGTCATCATAAATCACAGAATCCTCCTCCTTTAACTCTTTATCTCCTTCCTTCTGAGAGACATGAGACAGAAATTCATGGAATCTAGCTTTGTTACTTTCATGTTAGAGAGTACTGTACATAAATTCAACTTTTTTTATTTATTTTTATCTGAGCATTGTTTCCATCTGAGAACAAAACCTACAAGCTGTAAATTACATCTCTGCTTGTACAAATAATATCAATCACAACGCGTTTTTTCGTATCGGTGAAAAGAGACAGCTGCTGGTATTATTTGAGGTTGTGGTGTGAACCTGATGACAGAATTAGAGAAGTTGGCAGGGCTTAAACATCTGTAGCATCAACCGGCAGAGAAGTTGCACGGTGAAGAGAGTGCGGAAGCAACGCACTAGCGTAGAAACTCTTTGCAGTGACGATTTGTTCAGGACTATAAGCCCCATCAAATGCCTCATGATTTTGGGCACCAGGGTTTGCTAAATGTTTCTTTTCGGCATCCACTGGAAAATATGTAAAATGCTTCCCGGAGCAAAACGGTTTCAAGGAAGGTTTTTTGTTTTCTTTGGTCCGCTGGGGCGATGCCAAGGAGATTGAAGCTCCATTTGTTTCCCTGTGCTCTGAGTGGTCTGAATTTGGACTTAGGCTTGAAGCTTTCGGTTTAGCTCCAAGCTGTTGATCCCTAATCTCCCTCAACTGCATTTGATACGTTGCTTTGAGCCATCTTAGTTCTTGACGAAGCTCATTCTCATAATCATCTAACGGATCATTAGTGGCTGAAAGTTTCTCTGAGATAGAATTTCTTGCTTTCGAACTGCTCTGATTGTCCATGGTTATGATTCTCTCTTCCTTTCCAAAGTTTGTTGCATCCAATGTTTCATGATTTTCATCGCATGGGATGTCTCTCGAATCTCCTGAACCTTGTGAGCTTAATTCCGGTCCTTCTCTTTGAGCCCAGATATCGGCATAGTGCAAGCCATCAGAATGGTTTGATGTTCTAGGTGCACCT